CACTGTGGTAGGATGTGGGGCATCTGACACTGGACAACCCACCCTCTCCTACTGGAAAGAGATCTGTGCATCTCATGGCATCTGATTAGAGTCATTTGAGCTCATGGGTAGCTAGAAAACCAGGCTGAGACTGATGGAATTAAAAATTCAGTGAAAATTTGAGCTCAGTTTTCAGCCCTTCTGCTTCTTTCCTCAAAACTTCCTCAACAAACCATATTCTGTTCTTTAAAGTGGTCAGAACGGTTCTAGAAACTCAACGTGACCATCTCAAAGCATATTTCTAGGCATGGGTGCCCAAGAAGGCACGGGACAATTTCATTGCATCACCCTGTCCCATGGCTTTCCACATAAAAACCCACATTTAAAATGGTAAGATTTCAAAATGCAGCTAGTGCTGCCCGGAGGGGGCTGTTCACTCCTTTTTGTCACTGGTTTGTGGCCTCCCTGCATACACCTTGCTTAAGAGTTGAATTTCATTCTTGTGTGTCTTGGCTGGGAAGCAGAAGGTTGCTATAAAGTCAGTGATGGAGGCAGAGCAAATGCTGGAAGCAGAGGTAACTGGCCTCAATGCTGACTCTTGGAACCCTGGGATTAAGAAACATGTGTCCATGTCTGTGCATGCATGGGTCCGTGTGCATGCACGTGTGTGCGTGTTTGGTGTGCACCCAAGAAGCCCGCAGCTGCCTATGGCCATGGGGCTGGACCGTTCTTCGCATCTGTTCTAATATAACCTGTTCAGCATTTTTTCTTGAGATAAGTATAACAGGGCCTGTGCCCTGCCTGGTAATCACTCCCTCTTTCCTGCTCTGGGTCACCCTGGGTGATTTCTTGCCCACACCGGAAAATTCTTTATCTGGATGAGAATAGCAAACCTGAGGTTGAATGTGGGGACAGAGCAATCGGAAATCATTCCTTCCTATGCTGACCTTAATCAGCATATGAGAAGGCTTTGCTCAGAGCCAGCAGTCTGTTCAATGAAATGGATCCTGGAGCTACCAGCGGAAGGCCGAGGCCTCAGCATCAAAGCCAGGAGCTGGAGGAGGCCAGGCGGCCCTGTGCAGTGGTGGCAAGGCCAAAGCCACATTGAGTGCCCTGAGCCGGCCCAGGGCTGACACTCGGCTGGCGTGCAGGGGTGTGGGCAGCAGCCATTCCTCTGGTCAGCACCCTGTATCCTTGTCATTATGTACTTTTAATATCACCCCCAGACTGTGTCCAAATGACGCCCAAGTGGAGGAAGGTCTGGCCCAGCCTTGCGTGATATGGAAGGTCCTAGTTGCTAAGGCCCCTGGCAGTTTCCACACCAAGAGCCCCGAGTGAGCTCCAGCATGGGTAGGAGGCAAGGCCAGAGTCTCGTATCGCAAAAACTCAGGTGCTACGGGTTCTTCTCCCATGACTGCAGACATTCCTCTGGAGATCTTGGGAAAGGCATATGTTGTCCTGCCAGGGAGGCCTGCAGGCCTGAGAGCCCCAGGCAGCTGGCTGAGGAGGAGCAGGCTGCAGGGGGCAGCAGAGAGGCCGCTATGGTGGTGGGATAAATGGGAGGTCAGCGAGCACCTGGAGAGAGGGCTGGGGGAGTCAGCCGACGCTGGATTGGCGGCTCCAAGTGGGGTTTATCTGGGGTTTTCTGCTGGCTGTTGAGACATGAACACCCTTGGACAAACAGTGAGACAAGTGGGCCCAGCATCTCATTCCCCTGTGCCCAGTGCCCTGTTATCCCTTGGGCACCCCAGCCAACCATGCTCCCAGCCACAGAAGCAATCTTCTCTCCTGCAAAGTGCCCCTTTCTTGGCAGGGGGGCTGAAGAAGCTTTCTCAAAGGACATGAATGACATCTCAGTTTCTGCCTCCTGCTGGCTCTCATCAGTATGGACAGTAGGGGGTCTTCAGACCAGGGCGGGAAGCTGGTTTCATTGCCTTTGTTTCCCTGTACTTCTCAGAGAATGAAATTGGAAGGGGAGAGAGAGGCAGTGAAGTGAGTGCCCAGTAATTTTACTGCCTGGGGGTGGTGGGAGGACAAGGAGCAGGCCAGGAGGGCTCATAGTCTTCTCTGTGTGGCACCTGGTGCATTTCTTGTGTTCTCCTTTCCAAGAAAACCAAGAGTCAGTTCCTCCTCTGTCTTTTTAATTGTGCTTATAGCTTAGTACCAGGTATAGAACTTAGAAATTCACAGAAACCCTTACAAAACAAATATGCAGGTATTTTCTTTTATCTGTTTGCATTTTATTGGTCTTCACTTTATTGTGCTTCACAGATACTGTGTTTTTACAAACTGAAGGTTTGTGGAAACCCCAAGCCAAGCAAGTCCGTTTGGTTTGCTCCTTTTTCCAATAACATCTGCTCACTTTGTGTCTCTGTAACATTCTGGTAATTCTCATGATATTTCAACCTTTTTCATTATTATTATTATATTTGTTATGATGACCTGCGATCAGTGATTACAACTCATTCAAAGCTCAGATGATCGTTACCATTTTTTGGCAATAAAGTACTTTTAAATTAAGGTACATACTTTTTTTATTTTTTAAGACATAATGCTATGCCATACGCTTACTAGACTACAGTATAGTGTGAACATAACTTTCATATGCACTGGGAAACCAAAAATTCATTTGACTCACTTCATTGTGATATTTGCTCTATTGTAGTGGTTTGGAACCAAGCCTGTGGTGTTTCCAAAGTATGCCTGTACCAGCACAGAAATTTAATAAAAATAATAATAACAAGATATAAGAAATGATAGGCCTGTCATCTGGATCTTTTCACGTAGCTGGAGGTGACTGACAGCCAGGCCTCCCCTCCGCCGCCTGTTTCGCAATCCCATGGCGGGGACTGCAGCAGGGAAGGGCACCGAGGACCCACTTGAGAAGGTGCCTCGCTCTACAAGGCCATTGCCAGTGGGGTTGCTGTTTCCAATCCCATCTATTTACTTGCTAAGGGCACTTTTTTTTTCGTTTTGTTTTTAATATGATTGGTGGGCAGCTCTGCTAGAGTACTTTTCGCAGGAACCACTCTGCGGATCTGTAGAATTTAAAGAAACAAAAGAAGGACATTCAGTTGTGGGTCTCATCCTGAACATCTTCCATCCCTGGGACCGGCTTATTGCTTGAGGCAAAGCTGTGCTGAGGGGCTCTCTTAAGTGCATCCTGAAGTCCGGGGTGCTCCACTGCCTGCCCAGCTCCAAGCCTGGACACCTGTGCAGCCTGTGCCCAATGCCATGGGAGCCGCAGCCAGGAGGCGGGCAGGGTCCCCATGACGTGCTCTGCCTGATAGGAGAGCAGGCTGGCAGGCCGGACAGGCAGAGACAGAACCCCATAGAGTGAGATAAAAATCTGCATTTCAGCTAAAATCTCAATGTAAGTTCATTGCTCACAGGAGTCACCAGCAGGGAACAACCCAGCTGCCCTCCTCACAGGGTCAGTGTGAGAAGCACCATGCAAAGCGAGCCGTGGGAGCGAGGGAGCCAGGTTCTGTGACTCCTGTGAAAATCCCAAGTTCCTCCCTTTCTCTCTCTCTCCTCTTTCCCCCCAACTTTCTCCCTCCCCTGCCTCTCTTTCTCTCTGCTTCTGATGACTGAAATGGCTTGACATATTTAGTAGCCTTCTGACTTGTCCTTAAGACCATTTTTCCAACACACAAGCAAACAAGTGACTCCTGGCAGTGTCAGTCTGGTGAACCTGCTTACGGAGCTTACCACTCTCAGCCGCACCCTGCAGGGGCAGCTTGGCAAACCCCGTGCCTGCCTCGCTGGGCACCTAGTATCGCTGCGGCAGCTCTGGGCAGCCTGGCAAAGGAGGCGGGTGGCTGGGAGCAGGGGCCGTGGGCAGGAGTAAAGCGAAGGCACTGCTCATGCTGTCGTCTCCTGCTTTGTCTGGGTGTCTCCCTGATCGTGGACGTGCTACACCTGGTGCCCCGCTCCGCCAAGCCCTCGCCAAGCTTTTCTGTCCTCCCCTCTTCATCCACCAAAGGAAGGAAACCATCAACAAACAGAAAAATATGGAGGACTTATTTGGGTATGGGGACTGAATTTATTAAGATTTAAAGGTTGTAAAAAGAATTGCTTCTCACTCTTCCATTCTGCTTATATTACCAACTTGGAAGATAAACTGAAGGCAGATTATCTGTGTCCATGAAATACGAGACTCCATATATGAATACTTGATTATCCTTTTAAAGTACATAAATATTTCTCCCATTTCTCCTCTGGCCCCAATCCTCTTCCAGTAAACTCTTCTCTCCCTCCTTCCTCTTGTCCCTATTTATTTCCCAGAGCTCACTGCTTCTCCCCAGAATGAACTGGTGACATCAAGACCGCTATACGGCCCCTTAGCCCAAGGTTCCCTCCAGCCCAGGCTTCTGGCTCAACAGGACCTCCACACCCTGTTTCCTTAGGAGTCTGTCCCCACATCCCAGTGTGTGCCTTCTCTCAAGCTGTCACCTGTGTCACTGACACGATACCTCTGCAGGAATGAGTTCCGTAGGTTCAGGCTCACATCCTGCTTCCCTTGTGGGTGCTAACTGTTTTCATCAAGCTTCTAGGGGGGCTTCCTATCCTGAGCGGATCAGGTAAAGAAAGTGACTTTTATTCACACTCACGATTTGAGAATACACTCCCCCCAAGCCTTTGCCTTTCCAGGGAAAGAACCCCAAGAGTTTCTTCGGTCTTCAAGCTCAGGCTCCCCACATCTGATCTTTTCGGGAGCTGCAGGTGCTCTCTGGGCTGCTCACACTATGGGAACTGCATCTGTCACCCAAAGGAAAACTTCCTACCACCAGCCCTGCCCACCTTTAGATTGGATGCCGGGCATACTTGCGGCGATATAACTCATCCACTCGCTCCAGGTACCAAGTACCTGGAAAAAGGTTGTTTGTGTCTCCAGGTGGTGAGAAATTCACTGTGGAACAAGAAGAGGCAAGACTCACCAAAAGCTATGTGGGTCTGGGGAAGAGAAAATACTAATAGCGACGCTATAGCTTCCCAGTGAAGCTCTCCTGGCTGTGCTGCAAGGGGCTACAAGGTCATCTCCACGTCCCATGGAGCACTGGACCAGCAGAAAAACCAGATCCAGTACATATGGCTTAGGTATTAAAATTTTATTAGAGGAGTATGACATTTTCCTACACTAAGCATGCCTTTCCTCCACTGAAGTCTTTATCATGTCCTTTTGCCAATGATTCCTAGCTTGAACTTCCTGTTTCCTACCAGATATTCCTTCCTACGCCAAGTTCTCTGGCTCTGATTCATTGCAGTATTTCAGTGCTTTGTCCATTAATGTTCATCTTGGAGATCCTGTTTTTACTTCAATTGCTTTTCTTGCTTGCTCTAACATTTCCTGTTCCAGATAAGATCAATAACTACAAGGTCTAGGTTTTATGGAAATATGTTCTGTCTCCTTTTCACACCACACTGCAAACCAGGTACGCTACATTTTGCTTCATAGGTCAGTTTAGATTTGGATATCTACCTCCAAAGTCTAGGTTCTTTCAACAGTTGCATAGATAACTTTTCCAAAGACATCTGACTCCAGGGGACTCCATTTTCCAGTACCTCATTTGAGGTGGTTGGCTACAGTCTACACTGGGAAGCCACATGCTGCCTCCTGCCTCTTCTCAACTCTTCCTTCCGCTCCCCCCCACCCCCCGCCAGCTCTGGCCCATTTGGACCACACAGATCTCACAGTCATGTCCCGTAGACACCTTCCCTCTGGCCCGCTGGAGTCTGGACTTCTGATAGATTCCTGGCTCTCAGCTGCTGGCATGGAGTCTGAGGAAGGCTGCCCTCTTCTCCTCCCTTCTGCTCCTTTTCTTACCCTTGTGGTAGAATTCTTCTCTTTGGCCCATGATTTCTGTGAACTCCTCAGGAGAAACACACTTCCGGGAGGCCAGGCGTCTCGGCAGATCCGACATGCTGGACACCAGCCTCTCCAGGGGGGAGCCTGCGGAGCAAAAGAAAGGTTGTTAAGCCCGCCTCACTGTCATTATCACTGCTCCAAGTCAAGGGTGCAACAGAGAGCAGGTCCTGCAGGAGCCAGAGCCCTGGAGGAAAGCACTCTGTGTGTGGCTTAGGATGTCCAGAAATGATACTCTAAGGACAACAAACTAACGTTAGGAAAACATAGAGGCAGACACACTCCTTTGCCAAAGCATATCGCACAGTTCGTAGGTGCGCATCTGTGATGGCATCTGTCATAAAAGAATCAGTGTTTACCGGATATCTCCAGCCCATCCCTGTCTCTGTACTGGTGGCAACCAAACCACCGTTACCTCTTTCCTGGACTCTTTGCTGTAACAACCTGCCTGGTTTCCCCATATCCACCTTTGTTTCTCTTCCATCTTTTCTCTGCGTAGTAGTCAGGAAACTGCTTCAAATACATAAATTAGATAAACTTACTCCATTGGTTATACCCTTTCAGGAATTTCCTTTGCTCTTAATCACAATATAATTCTGTCAAAATGGGAGTCTCAGAGGAGTGGTGAGGCAGAATATGGTCTCTTTTATGAGATGAGTCTTGTCAGAAGTTCCTGACAGAAAGACAGGACTCACCTGGAGAAGCATCCTGGGACACTCGAAATGAAAAAAAACTTGCTGCCAAGCCCGAGCCGTAAGAGAATGCACCCACCCTGGAGCCAGCCAAGTCCTGGGCAGAGTGCCTGCAGGGCAAGAAATCAAAACCCAATAAACACATGGGCATTATACTCTGCTCTTCAAATAAACCGTTAACACATCAGCCCAATCAAGTCAACCTCTTGCAAGTAGAAATGGGTTTCGGGCACTCTACACAAAGAGGGACTTTTGGAAGATCCTAGGGATTGATTGGCCTAGGAGGACAAAAAATTGCCAACAGGAAAGAAGCTAAAAATCCAAGATACAGAAGGCACAGCAAACAAACAGAATTTGGGGGTATAAGAGGAACTTCTTCCCACCCATCAGGACAAGATTAATTCAGTGAACCCTGAAGGCATCTCCAGGTGAAGGTCAGACCACTTGACTCACCTTCACGGCTTCAGTGTTGACTGCTAATGCTTCAGCAGTTGTAATTTTTTATCATTCCCTTATCAGTAATAATTTGATCAAGTTTATATATGTGTGTGTGTGTATAATGTATATCTTATGTTATATGCATGTACTATAGTACAAGTATTTCCTCATAAAACCCACAAGGAATATCAATAGAAATAACAACTAACATTTGAGCACCTGCTGAACATTACTGTTTTAGTTGCTTCAGACATTAAAAACTCATCAAAACCCATTAGGCAGGAATTGTTGTGCATATTTTAGATGAGGAAAGTGAGGCACAAAGAAACTAAGTGTTTTTCCAAGGTCAAGGCTAATAAGTGGTAAAGAGATTTGAACCTAGGTTGTAGGCTGTGAAACTAGACTCTCTTAAACATCATACTTTCTAAGTATAGAGATGTTAAATCGATGAGATAAAATATGTATAAAAGTTCTGTTTTCTTGTGCATTCAAGTAGCTCTTGCAAATACCCTGATGTCATACATGCACTTCACTTTGGAGACCATTGTTTAATACTGATAATAAATCTGCCTATACATACAGCTTTGAAACAAGTTTCTTTCATTTTCTTCCCTCCTGCTCCCCCTTCCTTCCTTCCTTCCTTCCTTTCTTCCTTCCTTCCTTCCTTCCTTCCTTCCTTCCTTCTTTAAAAACTTGGTTGAGTCCTCAGACCATGGGGTCTGGGGTCTGGGGTGGGGACAGACACAGTACTCACTGGGACAGAAGTGAGGCCAAGCACCCGTACAGGGATGAGGTATACATATTCCCGTTGTGTGTGGAGAGGTAAAGGGAGGCCTTGGTTTTCTTGTTGAACGTGTCCAGAGAGACCTTTTGAAGTGCTTTATCCACGTCCTTGTTGGTGTAGGTGTCTTCCGGCCTTAGCCCCCTGGGAGGCAGCCAGAGAAACAGGCCAGGTGAGAGGCCACAGGAGGGGCAGAAGGCAGCAAGGGGACAAGCAACAGCTTCTGGACAGAGGACTTTGGGACACATGTTTTCTATTGTAGAATATTTGAAAATACAGAAAAGTGCAAAGAAAAAATGTCACTGATAGTCTTACCATTCATCCTCTATAATGTTATTTTTAAAGGCTGCAGTATGGGCCATGACAGGATATACCTTACTTTAACCAATCTCCCCATTCCCATCCTGACCAGTTAAAATGCTGCAGTGAACAGCTACATGATTTTTAAACATGCAGTATTGCTCAGCCAAAAGGTAGTCACATCTTTGAGACCTTTGCTTCATCTTTTCCTCTTACTCCCCCAAATCCTTGTATCAGTTTACACATCTACTATTGCCTGTTTCCATGGCCTCATCAATCTTGGGTACTTGAATTTTAAAAAGACTATGTAAAAAAAATGGTAACTTGTTTAAATTTGTTACTAATGGGCATACATATTTAAAAATATGATTATGTGCATTTCTTCTTTGAGGAAACTTCTTGTCCATATCCTTTGCTCAAGTTTCTACTATGGTGCTTATCTTATTATTGATGAGACTTTCACATATTAAACATATTAAGCCATTGTTCTTGGTATATGTTAGAATTTTTTCCTCATGGGGCAAGTCTTACATGCAATGTTTATGCTAATTTTGAAGTTTTAGTTAGCGGCTGAGTTACTATCATTAGGAATATGGGCAGATGTTGGCAGAAAACGTGAATAGGTACCAAGAAGAAAAGGAAGGATTCCCTTCCAAGTGTGAACTCTTTGTATTGAAGATTCTTCTTTTTTAAATGTCTTGGAGTAATGCAGCAATAAATGGCATTCTTCCTGCTTTTTTGACATGTGAAGAGGCTAGCTGGACTATCTCCATTTCATTGCTGGGGAGAACTGAAGCAACAAGCAAGGCAATAATTAAGCTAATGGCAAGTGAGAAGGATGACATTCCCTGTGCTGCCATCCTGTGCTGTGATTATCTGCCTCTGGCATTTCTTTCCATACAGACTGCAAGATCCTGTGGGCAAGATCACACAGCCATGTTCATTTCTGTATTGCTAGAGTTTAGTGTGATGCCTGTCACATGCTGCTGTTCATGAAATGTGTATTGGCTAAATAATTTCGCCACACCTCTTTCCCCTTTTTCTTACTCTCTTAATCATTTCTTAGTCACTTGATCTAGATATTCAGGCAAACTCTGTGCCTTCAAGATAAAAGGGGAGGGTCCTATGTGGTCTTATTATTATCCGATAATCCATGTAGGGACTTGGTATTGTTTCTGTTGTGTTGGAGGACTGTCCTTTTTTCCCCACAGGAATGGCTCGTGGTCCAGGCTCAAGGTGTGAAGAAACCTCCTCTTCTCACACCTTTCATGGGCCTAAAGGTTCCCCATGAAGAAGTCTGACCTGAAGGCCTCTAGTCCCTTATAGAGGCTGGTCTGTGTGTCACTGCTGACCGACAAGAAGTCATTGAACATCAGGCGAGCCAGGGATTTCTGGGCCATCTTGCAGAAGGGAGTGTGAAAGATCATAAACTGTAAATCATCCAGAGTGAAAGGCCGATGGATGCCAGCTGGAAGAGAAAGTGTGAAACCAAGGATGCGGCATGACAGATGAGCCTTTACAACCACTCTCCAAGGTCTAACTGCCGAGGGACCCTAAGCCTCCTGGAAAACTAGCTCCTACCCACAGCAGAGACACACAGGTTTGTTCATTCACTGTATAAGCATTTTAGTAAGCACCTTACTTATATAAGTATACCTATAAATAAACTTTCTGTGGGAATGCTTATAAAGACCATACTTACAGAAAGAAGGGAAAGAAACAAATATTTTCTTCCTGTCTACTATTGCTAACCTGTATGACAGATAATTCCTCCAAATTAACCTTGTGTTGTATTATTTTCTCTATTTCCAGAGGAGGAAACAGAACTTTCAAAATATGAAGCTAAGTCGTATGTCTAAGGTCACCCAGTTTGAAAATGGCTGGCTTTGTATTTAGGTTCCAACATCTGTGACTCTACACTACGGAATGTCTCTCACATGCTGAAGAGGAGGGCCTTCCTCTCTCTGCCCTTAGGAAAGATTGCAATTTGGTACTGAGATTCAAAGCAGCAGTGACCAAATTCCCTATTAGAAAAAAGAGTAAAATTAGAATGCCATGAGAATTTAGAGGTGAGAGCAATTAGCCACTAGGAGTTTTGTAATGGATGGGCAGAGGTGAAGAATTCCAAGTTGCCTCCTTGTCCATGAGCATGGTGGCAGCTGTGGCAGCCAGCGTCCCGCCCAACGCAGTGAAAAGGGACAAGAAATGCCCCCTGTGCCTCTCCTCAAGCATCCATGCTCTGACACTTGAACATTTCCACACTGACACCTGTCTTTTGCTGATACCCATGTAGGCATAGCTAATTACGTAAGAACACTTTTTATTTTTCTAAAGTAGATTTCTATGTATTTTTAAACATAAGATTGTTTCTTTTCCAATTATGAAAGCAGTACATATTTTTTATCAGGAAAACTCAGAAACTAAAGGTGAAATTAAAATCAATTTATAGTACTACCATCCAGAGAGAAATTACTTTGGCATAATGGCAACACTTTATTATATCAAATATATACCTAAATGTACCTAAATATAGTTAAGATTTTCAGTATCAACCAGACGTTAAAAGGTGGCAAACTACACTAAGAGTCAAATCAACCCTGACTTTGAAGGAACAATCCTTGCCCGGGTAGCATGTGGTCACACTGACTCGCCACAGCACCTCCCCAGCTGGCTACACACACTGTTTTCATACTGGTAGCTTTGACCCTGGATTGTTTACTTTCTTTGACTTAGCTCAAGTTAGAGGCAATTTCATACTTGAATTTGGAGGAATTCCAAGTGGACTTTAGCATAGACCCAGGGAAGGGTGTCAGAAGAAGGGGGCATAAAACAATTCATTTGAAATCAGAGTAGAGAAGAGACCTTGACTCTTTTAAGACAAACTCTTGGCCGCATGTAAATGGAGACCCCACTTTCTGCTCTCTGAGCCTCATACCTTGTTTCCACTGTTTCTGGATTTTTTCACGGTATAACGTGTAACATCGGTCCAAGGCTCTTAAGTAGCACTGCATGGAGAGCTTCCCGTCCACTATTGGGTACTCTGAAGCCACATCTGGTTTGTAGAAGTCGTATACATTCTCCATGTGGGTTCCCCTGAGCCCTGGAAAGGCACACAGAGGGATTCAGGGACTGTGCACTGCAGTCCACAATGAGTAGAGAGGATGGGAGAACCATGTATAAGCAGACTCCTGGTCTTTACTTGTCTCATGCCCAAGCCTGAGCCCACTCAACATCCCTCATGTATTCAAGAAGAGTTAAATAGATTATTGCTTTTATATAAATAAGATCTATATTTCCCTTTCCACATCCATATGGGTTTAACAGAATCTGGAATCAAAGCCAAAAGTTTCAAAGCAAAGCCTTTCACTTTATACACAATTATCTTTCATCTTCAACTGCCAGCTTAGCTCCATAAGGGTCCTCACCAGCAGCAATCGCCGCATCATTATCCCAATGTATGATGGTGCCAAAGAGAATGCCTCACTGATCCCTCCCTTCCCTCTGCTCCCTAGGCCAGCCTTTGGATGGTAAGCAATATCCCCAAATCCATACTTCAGTCCTTGGGTTTGCCAACTTGGGATTAGGAGCCATGCATTTGGCTATGCCATTCACAGGTCTTTTGGTACCATGTATCCACAGTTACTACAAACCTCTCTCGAGGGCCAGAGGGGCCTTGGGCCCAACCAGCATGGCCACAGCTCCAGCCCCACCTGTGGGCCGAGCATTACCACTAGCATAGACTGCAATGTCTCCACAGACCACCATCGCATAGCGACCTGTAATGAGAGAAAGAAATAATTATTATCTCTACCAAATCTCTAGAAAACTAAGTGCATAGTTTTTGTTTTTGTTTTTTTTTTTTGCATTGCCAGGCATAGTTTTAGGTATTGGGCATAGACCAGTGAACAAACATGAAAATTCCTGTCCCATGAAGCTGATGCTCTAGTGAAACTCATCATGGCACATTTGAATGCAAAGTCAAATGCACTGTCCTGTTGCCCTTTCTGTAAAAGGCTCATTCATACAGAATTCTGTTTCTGAATTCAATAAAGAATTTTATTAATTGGCCCTTTTGGAGATAATGTAGATTTGTACCAATCACCTCATATATAGCATTCCATCATCCTGAAATTCCTTCCAAATCATAGAAAGTAAAGGGACAGGAAGAGAAACTAACATTTAAAATAATGGCTAAACACTAGTTATCCTCAATCTGTAAAACAATACAATGAGGTAGGTAATACCCACTTTTATAGAGGAAAGCACTCCCTTCCAGAGAGATTAAATAATTTGTCAAATAGTGAATATGGAATGTGATATTCAAACCCAGTCTGACTGGATCCTAAACCATGTGCTTTGAATGACTTGGTACTACTTTCATTGTGAAAAGAGCTTATGTTGAGAAACCACATTTAATGTAGATGATCCATAATAACTACCTCTAACAGTCAGACTAGTATTCAATAAATGATTGTTGTCTTCACTCTTATTTGTTCCACTTTAATCTGTTAGTACTGCCACCCATAAAACTTGAATCTGCGGGAGAGACATGGTAGTAATTTTAGTATTCTACCTAACCTGTGAGGAAGCTTCCAACATTTACCCCAGCACTATTTTAGGAGTACATCCTGCAATTCCATTCCTAGGAATCTATTCTTACAACACATTATCACAGCATGCAAAACTATTAAACAATGTTCTTAAAATATCTTTTATAATTGCAAAAAAAAATACAACAATCTAACTATCAGTGTAGGACAATTAAATAAAGTTTGACATATCCATCAATAGATGTTTTTTAAAGACTTTTAAAAGATGTGGTGGAGGGGGGCTCTGAAAAGATAACAGAGTAGAGAGAGCCCGAATCCACCTTGCATACACTGAATCTACACTTACACACAGAGCTTTTCACCCTGAAGAATATTGGAGACCGAAGTGAGCACCTTTTATACAACTAAGGACAAAAGATCACCCAAAAAATCCCCCAAACAGCAGGGAAGGCAGAGACATAATAACTTTGGGAACCACATCTCTACCGGCAGGGGGTGGGGGGTGGTATTTCTGAGAGAGCCGGGTGCAGGGGCAGACTCACTGCCCCAAGGCACAGGAAAAGAGCCTGGCAGTGTAAAGTGCAACTAGACCATACATGAACGGACCAGAGTTTCAGAACTAAACATCCACTGCTTGGCAAGGAAACCCCTGGAAACAATCTGGGATCAAACAAGCCAGCCAGCACCATTGTTTGCCTCCTTCTGCACATATTAGTGTGGCAGAGAGCAGGATCTGTGCATACACACAAACCTCAGACTTGGTCTAGGCAGCCCTCTGGCACCCACCCATATCCAGACACACCTACAGGAGATCCAGTAGCCTCCTACTGCTGCCTGCTTTAACCACTGACCCAGCCCCCATCAGGCTGGATGCACAAATCTGTGGACTAGTGCTGTCAAGGCAGCTCCCCAGAGCACTGCAGAGGTATGCATGTGGGGGGCTAACCCCTGACCACCAGCAAGCTGGTGAGTGTGACACAGCATGGAGCATGCAGGGATGGACAGAGGAGGAGGGGAGAGACATGAACAGTGCCTGATTCTACGATGACAGCAGGACCCAGCAGGCACCCAATGCAGAAATTCTCCAGAGTGGTCCTGAATGGCCCAGATAATGCAAAGGTGTGCAGGTAAGGAAGCACAGGGAACTTAGCTGGTACCAGTCCAGGAATTAACTGCAGTGTACCCCCAACCCACTGCTGGCCCAGCACCCTCCCCCTGCCAGTGCAGAACCCACAGTGTCCACCCAGGATGTTCTCCAAAAGGCCCCTAAGGCCACACCCCTGGGACCATGCCCTGGGAGCTTCAGCACCAGGAAAAGCCAATCTCACACTTACTGTCCCTCCAGCTTGGCAAAACCATGAGGAACATGCAGTTTACACAGGGACTCTCCCACACAAGGCCAATCTTTCAGGACTTCAAGAGTGAGCCCTTTCAGCTAATTCATAGAACCAAGTACCGAAAGTCATACAAAATAAGGAGGCAGAGGAATACACTCCAAACAACAGAATAAGAAAAAAAAACTGAATAAAAACTAAATGAAACAAAGTTAACCAATGTACCTGATAAAGAGTTTAAAGCAATGGATGTAAAGATAAAGATACTCACTGGACTTGAGAAAACAAGATGGACCTCAAAAAAGAGATAGAAAGCCTATAAAAGAACCAATCAGAGGTGAAGAATTCAAAAATGAAATAAAAAATATACTGGAGGGAATGAACAGCAGACTAGAGGAGGCAGAAGAATGGGTCAGTGACTTGGAAGACTGAGTAATAGGAAGCACTCAAGCTGAACATCAGAAGGAAGAAAGAGTCAAAAGAAATAAGAATAGGGTAAGAGAGCTCTGGACAACATCAAACATCCTAACTTCCACATTATAAGAGTCCCAGAATGAGAAGAAAAAGAGGAAGGAATGGAAAATTTATGTGAAGAGGTAATAGCTGAAAAACTTCCCTAACCTAGGGAAGGGAACAGTCTGCCACATCTAGGAAGCACAGAGAGGTCAAACAAGATTAACCCAAAAAGGTCCACAGCAAGGCAAACCATAATTAAAATGTCAAATATCAAAGATAAAGAGAAAATCTTAAAAGCAGTAAGAGAAGAGCAATGAATTACATGAAGAGAAACCCCATAAGGTTATCTGCTGATTTTTCTGCAGAAATTCTACAGGCCAGAGGGAATGGCACAATATATTCTAAGCACTGAACAGAAAAAAAAAAACAAAAAACCTCCAACCAAGAATATTCCATCCAGCAAGGTTATCATTCAGAATGAGGGAGAGATAAAGAACTTCACAGATAAACATAAGTTAAAAGAGTTCACCAATACTAAACCAGCCTTTCAAGAAATGTTAAAGAGACTTCTTTAAGAAGAAAAGAAAAGACCCAAAATAGAAGCAAGAAATTTAAGAAAAGGAAAAATTTCTACTGGTAAAGCAAACATATAGCACAGGTAGTAGATCAGTTACTTAAAAGCTAGTTTGAAGGTGTAAAAGCTAGTATGAAAGTGAAGAAGACAAATGTAGCAAAAGCATTTGCATCTAAAAATTAGTTAAGAGAACCATTTAATGAAAAAATGTAAAAGAAGATATTAAATACTGTATTAAAAACATGTAGGTGGAGTAAGAAATATAGTGCTGTTTGAATGCATTCAAACTTAAGTGACCATCAGCTTATGACAGATTATAACAATTCATTGCATGTCACATAAGAATCCCATAGTAACCACAAACCAAAACATATAATAGATACACAAAAAAGAAAGAGAAGTGAACCCAGCCATTACACTAAAGAAAGTCATAAAACACAAGAGAAGAGGGCAAGAAAGGATCAAAGAACAAAAAGAACAAGGAATCATTTAACAAAATGAAAATAAGTGTGTATATATATATACACACACACACATATATATATATGGATAAGCATACAATTATTTTAAATGTAAATGGCCTAAAGGCTCCAATCAAAAGACATAGGGTGACTGAATGGATAAAAAAACAAGACCTGTCTATTTGCTGCCTACAAGAGACTCACTTCAGAACAAAGGACACATAGAGACTGAAACTGAAGGGATGGAAAAAGATATACCATGCAAATAGGATGGAAAAAAAGCTGGAGTTGCAATACTTATATCAGATGAAATAGCCTTCAAAAGAAAGAACATAACAAGAGACAAAGAAGGATATTATATAATGATAAAGGGATCAGTCCAACAAGAGGATATAACAATAGTAAGTATCTATGCATGCAACATAGGAGCACCTAAATATATAAACCAAATTATAATAGATAAGCCACTTTGATAAGCCACTTACATTAATGGATAGATCATTTATTTCTAAACAGAAAATAAAAAAGGAAATAGAGGCATTAGACCAGATGGACTCAAGTTTACATGGAATGTTCTCCAAAATAGGTCACTTATTAGGACACAAAGCGAGTCTGAACAAATTTAAGACTGAAATTGTATCAAGTATCTTCTCAGACCACAATGGTATGAAACTAGATATCAGTTACAAAAAAAAACCCTGGAAGAACACAAACACATGGAGCCTAAACAATACACTTCTGAATACTCAATGGATCAAGGAACAGATCAAAGAGGAAATCAAATAATACATGGAAATGAAAACAAAAACACAGCAGTTCAAAATATGTGGGATTCAGCAAAAGTGGTTCTAAGAGGGAAATACATAACAACACAGGCCTGCCTCAATAAACGAGAACAAGCTCAGAAAAACAGTCTAACTTTACAACTAAAGGAACTACAAAAAGGAGAACAAACAAAGCCCCAAATTACTAGAAGGAGGGACAAATTAAAGATCTGACTGGAAATCAATACAATAGAGACTAAGAAAACAATAGAAATAAATCAATGAAACAAGAGCTAGTTATTTAAAAAAATAAACAAAATTGACAACCCTTAGCCAGACTTATCAAGAAAAAAAGAGAGGACACAAACAAAATCAGAAGTGAAAAAGGAAAAGTTACAACTGATTCAAAGAATTATTAGAGAATTCTATGAAAAATTATAATGAGTTGGACAACCTAGAAGAAATGGATAAATACCTAGAAATATACAATCTTCCAACAATGACCCAGGAAGAAACAGAACATCTGAACAGACTGATTACTAGTAATGAAATTGAACTGTTAACCAAAAAACTCCCAACGAACAAAATCCAGGACCAGATAGCTTCACAGCAGAATACTGCCCAATATTTAAGGATCAGTTAATACCTATCCTTAAAGCATTCCAAAAATTAGAAGGGGAGGGAATATTTTCAGACTAATTCGATGAGGCTAATTTACTCTAATATCAAAACCAGACAAAGACACTAGCAAAAAAGAAAACTACAGACCAATATCCCTGATGTAGGTAGACATAAAAATCCTCAACAAAATATTAGCAAACCAAATTTAAAGATGGATTAAAAGAATCATTCAGTATGAACAAGTGGGATTTATTCCAGGGATGCAAGGATGGTATAATATTTGCAAATCAATCAATGATACACCACATCAACAAAAGAAAGAATAAAAACCATATTATCATCTTAATAGATGCTAAAAAATACTTAACAAAATTCAATATCTATTCATGTTAAAAACTTTCAACAAAGTGGGTATAGAGGGAACATAACATGATAAAGGCTATATATGACAAATCCACAGTCAACATCATATTCAAAGGCGAAAAGCTGAAAGCTTTTCCTCTAAGATCAGAAGTAAGACAAGGATGCCCATTCTCACCAGTTTTACTCAACATAGTACTGGAAGCCCTAGCCATGACAATCAGACAAGAAAAGGAGATCAAAGGCATCCAAATTGGTGAGGAAGAAGTAAAACTGTTACTGTTTACAGATGACATGATAGCATATATAGAAAACCCTTAAGGTTCCATCAAAAATCTATTGGAAGTAATAACTTGATTCAGCAAAGTTGCAGGATACAAAATCAACATACAGAAATCTGTTGCATTCCTACATACTGAATGAACCAACAGAAAGAGAAATTAAGAAAAAATGCTCCTTACAATTGCATCAAAAAGAACAAAATACCTAGGAATAAACCTAACCAAGGAGGTGAAAGCCTTGTACTTGGAAAACTATAAGAAGACACTGATGAAAGAAATTGAACAAGACACAAATAAATGGAAAGCTATCCCCTTGTGGATAGGAAGAATTAATATTGTCAAAATGACCATCCTGCCCAAAGTAATTTACAGATTCAGTGCAACCCCCATCAAAATACCAATGTCTTTTTCTAAATGAGCAAGAGCAAATAACACTAAAATTTATATGGAACCACAAAAAAAACCCAAAGCAATCTTAAGTAGAAGAACAAAGCTGGAGATATCACACTCCCTAATTTCAAGCTCTACTACAAAGCTACAATGATTAAAGTGGTATGGTGCTGGCACAAGAATGGTCATATAGATCAATAGATCTGAATAGAGAGCCAAGAAATAAATCCATCCATATATAGTCAATTAATATATGCAAAAGAAAGCAAGAACATGCAATAAGGAAAAGACAATCTCTTCAATAAATAGTGTTGGTAAAACTGGGCAGCTACATGTAAGGGAATGAAACTAGATGGCTGTCTTACACCATACACAAAAGTAAACTCAAAATGGATTAAATACTTAAATGTAAGACATGAAAGCATAAAACTCTTAGAAGAAAACATAGGCAAGAATCTCATGAACATCAGCATGAGAAATTCCTTTCTGGATACATCTCTCCAGGCAAGGGAAATGAAAGCAAAAATAAACAAGTGGGACTGCATCAAGCTAAAAAATCTTCTGCACAGTAAAGGAAACCCTCAACAAAACAAAAAGGCAACCTACCATATGGGAGAATGTATTTGTAAATGCTATATCTGATAAAGGGGCTAATAGCTACAATATATAAAAAACTCACTCAACTCAACACCAAAAAACAAACAATCCAATTAAAAAATGGGCAGAGGACCTAAGCAGACATATTTCTAAAGAAATATACAGCTAGCTAACACACACTCGAAAAGATGTCCCACCTCACTAATCATCAGGGAGATACAAATAAAAACTACAGTGAGACATCACCTCACACCAGTCAGAAAGCCTAGTATCCAAAAGACAGGAAATAACAAGTTTTGGGGAGGATGTGGAGAAAAGGAAACCCTCCTACACTATTGGTGGGAATGCAAATTGGTGCAGCCACTCTGGAAAGCAGTATGGTGGCTCCTCAAAAAAATTAAAAATAGAAATACCATATGACCTAGCAATTCCACTGAGAATTTACCCAAAGAAAGCAAAACCACTGATTTGAAAGGATAAATGCCCTCCTATGTTTATTGCTGCATTATTTACTATAGCCAAGACATGGAAGCAACCAGTGTCCATTGATAGATGAACAGATAAAGAAGACATGGTACATATATACAATGGAATATTATTCAGACATAAAAAAGAAAGAAATCTTGCCATTTGCAACAACATGGATGGACCTAGAGGGTATTATGCTCACTGAAATAAGCCTGGAAGAGAAAGACAAATACCATATGATCTCACTGATATGTGGAATATAAAAAACAAAACAAACAAAAAAAGAAAGACATCCATAAATATGGACAACAATTTGTTGGTTTCCAAAACAGGGGTGGTGGAGAGATGGGTGAAATAGGTGAAGGGAATAAAAAGGTACAAATTGCAAATTGTACAATAAGTGAGTCATAAGACTAGAAGTATAACATATAAAATATAACCAATAATATTGTAATATCTTGGCATGGTAATTGGGGGAGCTAACTCACCATGGCAAGCATATAGTAATATATATATATTTATGAAGTCATTATATTGTACATCTGAAACCGATTAATTTTGTATGTTAACTTTATTCCAATTAAAAAAAAACATTTCCCACATCATTAAAACAGCTTTTGTAAAAAAAAGTAAAATACAAGATGAGGTGGGCCTTATCTATATTGATAGGGAATGGCCTGTAAGACATCACAGAAATGAAGAATAATATGTATAATGTTAAAACTAAAACAGAATAGTTATGTGTATGCTTGCAGATTATAGAAAAATCCTAGAAGAAAACATAGAAACTGTTAATGTTAAATTCTCAGAAGTGGTAATGTGGTACAAAAGGGAACTTTTTCTTCACATTAAACCCTTTTCTATTTGTTTTTTTTTAAAACTATGAGTTTCAATTATTTCATTTTAAAAAGACAAGAAAAAATGAGTTCTCCCAGGCAATCTGAGCCAGTATCTCTTTCCTTCCCTCACACCCTGCACCTGTCTTACACCATGCACAACTTCCTGGAGTAGTTCAGAACTTCCTGATGAGTTCCAGAACCACCTATCTGAGGGTCCCCAGGTAGATGGTTGGCCAGGAGTTTCATCTGCATTGGTCTTGTCTACTCTTGGTGGTTGCCATTAGGTTCAAGCTTACATATGTTCTTTGTTTTAATACAAACTAATAATTTACATATCAATAGTTTATTTTTAAATATTTTCCCCACCAAGACAGCATGCCAAAGATACATTTGCAGCCCTTTCCTGTGGAATACCTAGCCACTGAGCAGAATCTACTCATTTGAAATGACGTGCTTGAAGCTGGTGTTACTCCCAAATACAGGCTTTGATTTTTGGTTAAAGGCTGGTGAGTACCCTTACCCTTCATTTCTAATCTCCAACTAAATGCTTAGTTAGACATACTAATGGTGATGGTAGTAGGGGTTGCTGGAAAAGTAATATACATGCCAGGCAGGAGAAGCCCTGTAAGAACAGATTTGATCATGTGAAGACTAGAACATCCCAAATCAATGGAACCATTGATGGTGAACCTATGCAGAGCAGTTGAAAAAACACTGTGTATGGGTGTATGACATTGCACTTGCTTGCTGTGTGAACAGAGTTAACTGTTAAACAATTTTTGGCCCATTTTTAAAATAAAAAATATTGGATTAGATCATCTCTAAAGTCTCTGCCAACAGTAAGACTTAATAATTCATTTTATAATTAATGTTCATTATGGTTTCTAAGATTTTAAATTCTCATTTCCAACCTCATAAATACAGAGCCTTGACTACCTAGGTACTGTTTTTTCCCACCCCCTGAATATCTTATTCAATCCTTTTACCAGCCGTGCAAGGCAAATAAGAATTCTGAGGCTCAAAGAGGTTATGGGACTTGTCAACAATTATTGACGAAGCTAAGTTTCTAACTCTCAACTTGTACTCTTTCCCTTGGACATTTTCTTGCTATCACAATAGGGGTTCTTCCTCCAATATAGCATTGAAGGAAGGAAGATATAAGTAAGATACAGGGTAATGTTAATATGTTAAGCAAAAAGCAATTTCCCAGGAGCCAGACCAGGGAGAAAGAGTAAAAATATTCTGTATAATAGTGTATCCTGTGATTCTTTGGGTCTATTTCTACCAGGGTGTTTTTTCCTTAACACACACACTTGTTTAAACCTTTTATCATCACCAGACCCTCAGAGACTTAGGAATAGCTTAAGAGAAGCAGGAATGATGAAGTTGGAAATATTTTGGGTTTGGTTTGGTGTCTCACCCATACCACACATTATGTGTAAGATACCAGATACTCCATATTCTCATCTATAAATCAGGTGAAATACCCACTTCCTAGGCTGTTGTAAGGACTAAATGAATGGCTGTATGAATACACTACCTAATTAACTGCATAAAGCTGTACAAGTCTAAGTAGTTATTATCACTGTGGTTGTTGGAAGTTGGGCTTCCCTCTCCATAAAAACATCTGGTGAATAGAGATGCAAAACCGAGGATTCAGCCTCCAAGCCCAATCTCTTCTTCTATAAGGCTTCATGGAGCACATACCATCCCAGGAGCTGGACTCCACCCAGTTGGCAGCATTGAAGAGGGAGGCAGTGCCTCCATAGCAGGCATTGGTGGTATCTATGCCCTCAATGTCAGTGTTGCCTGAATCCTGGAAAAGCTCCATGAGCACTGTTTTGACAGCCTTGAGCACTGTTTTGACAGCCTTGGACTTGTCAATGATGGTCTCAGTGCCCACCTCCAGCCGGCCCACAGAGTCCCACGGGAGCTGTGTGCGCTCCATCAGCTGCTGCACCACCGTCAGGCACAGGGAGTTGATGTCTTCCCGGACTGAGCAGAAGCCCATCTGTGTTTGGCCCAAGCCCACTGTGTACCTCCCTGCTTCCACATTGTCATACTTCTCCAGGTCTGATTGGTCCACATATTGGGCTGGGAAATAGACCTCCAGGGCAAGAATGCCCACATCCTTTGGCCAAGTATCTGTTTTGGCCAAAGGGACAGCAGGGACTGTAGAAAACCTGTAGTGAAGATAACAATAAAAATTCCACTAATTTTATTAGTTTCTACACAGTTTCCTCAAAAGACAATGCAGCAATCATTTCTTTCATTTATTATATATTTTGAAACTATGTTATCAGATGGATACAAATGTAAGATTGTTATATCTCTTTGTTGAATTAAACCTAGTATCCTTATAATGTCCCTATTTATGTTTGTGATGTTCTAGCCATAAACTCTACCTTTTCTGATGTTAATAAAGCTTTTATAGTTTTTTTATTATTTTTTACATGGTATATCTTTTTTTTCCTTATATACATACTTTTAACCTCTTTGAATCCTTATATTTAACATGCATCTCTTCTAAACTGCATAAAATTAGGTCATTAAAAAATTTGTAACAAGTCTTATTATATTGGTGTTTTAATTGGAGTAATTAGTTCAATTATAGTTATTATAATTACTGACATAGTTAGGATTACATATACCATCTCACTATTTCTATTTATTTCATGTCCTTTATTTCTTTATATCTCCTTTCCTGTACTTTTGTATTAAGCAAGCACTTATGACTTGATTTATCTCTTCTTTTTTGTTTAGTAATGACCTGAGATTACAATGTGCATAAGTGACTTACAGTAATTTAACTTAAATTAATATTTCTACTACTTTCTGAATAGCACAAAAAGCTTACTGTAGTTTGACTTCATTTATCTTCTCCATACCTTTAAGCTACTATTGTTATAGTTTACTACTACATATATTAAACCACATTGGACATAATTTTTAAATTTTCCACTCATTTTTAAGGTATCCTCATTATCCCTTCTTTCTTTTTTCTACACCTATAAATACCTACTGTTCTTCTATTTTTAAAGGAAGTTTTCTGCTTGATTCTGTCCTCTCCGTTTTCTCTGATTGGACCTCTCAATTTTTATTGAGCACAGCTACAGTGCTGGGTTCCTGATGCATAGTAATGAATAAGACATCCTTTGTGCCCACAAAGAGTGCCTAGTCTAATGGAGGAGACAGACATTTTTACTGCTAAATACATAGTGGAACAAGCAAAGGTGTGAGAACATAAAGGGCAGAGAGAGCAATTCTAAATTGAGCAGAGAGAAAATGGGGAAAGGTTCAGTAGAAGAGGGATGAGATAATTTGTTCCTTTCCTGTACCCACCCCATTCTCTTCAACCCTGACTCCTAATACCCCTAGTGAAAATACACAATTTCTCCTTCCAGCTACAATGCAGAGCTCACCAAGTTCACCTCCCATCTGCTCCCGTGTGAAAGTACCTGAAATCTGGTTACTTAAGTATATTTCAGTGGTGAAATCAAGGCACACACTGGTGAAGTGGTATGTTCAGAGCAACTCCATAGTTATCATGTGTTAGAAATATTCTGTCCTTTCATGATCTTGGGTACCAGTCCAATATGTGTGCTATACTCATGAGTACAACCAGGTTCCTTTGACTTGTATCTAGTTACAGAATTCTTGACCATGAAAGGGTGACAGGCTGGTTCCACAAGCTATAAATTTGGCTCTGTACCAGTAGAACTGTAGCTCAAACTGTCTGTCAATCATCCTGAAGATAACCACAGTTCTTCCATCAGGAAGCTCACTTTGAAGGACTACTGTGAGGCAAAAGCACATCATACAATCACAAGATAGTGAGGCAAAGTGATAAATGTCCACCCATGTCTGACAAGAGAAGCTTGGAGTCTGGTGATCGCCCTGTATTTGGTGTCCCCCAAGTAACTGGACTCTGTACTTAAATATTTGTAGAGGAGCTCCCTAGTACCTAGGAGCTAATGGTTAGCCAGGGCTTGGCTCTGGGCCTTGGCCAGCTTTTCCCTCAGCTTCATTCTCACTCTGTCTTCTCTGATCTCACTCACTCTCTCTCTTCTCAGTTAGAAGTCTAAGGTTGCAAGAAGAAGTTCTGAGAATCAGTCACCTGGTAATTTTTTTAACTGTCTTGGTAGGGGGCTATTTCTGGAAATGGATTCCAAAACTTGAAGAGAAGTTAACATGTAGAGGCTTCCAGAAACATCAGACCACTGGTGTTAAGAGACATCAGACTCCTTGTAATCTTATACTCTCTCCCAAAATAATCACTTCTGTGAATTTAAAATAGGTTTTGTTATAGTGTCAGTTGGTTCAAGAACACACATCAAGCTTTTATTTGTTTACTTCATCTCACCTCCTTCACTTGTGTTTCAAAATTAGGTGTGGTTGATCAGGCACTGTGCTAGGAAGGGACTCCTGGGGAGATTTCCTGTGGATGGAGACTCAGGAAAGACTTCATGGAAGAGGCTACATTTGAGATTAACCTTGATGGATGAGTGTAGCTTCTTTCTACTGATGAAGAATTGGAGGGGAGTTTACGGAACTGTGGCCACAGTGGCAGGGTGGGGGGTGAGCAGAGAGTGTGATGGGAGTAGGGAGACAACACAAAGGAAAGCAGGTGGGGAGCACAAAGTAGAGGCATGATTCTTCCGAATTTTAAAGGCAGTGAAGCACATGCTAAGATGGGGGCAGTTCTTTGTTTAGACTTCGAGTTGATGCAAGTTGGATAAAAGGGGATAGACAGAGAAAAAGAGATCCACAATGAAGATTCTTAGTACTTGTTCAGGCCATGGAATATGGGATTAGCTGTGAATACACTAAAAAGGGAAATATGAATGATAATTCCAAATGTTTGAACCAAGGATGTCAGAAGGAGGGCAGATTGGTGAGGACAGGTTTGTCTCTTGGTGGGCAGCCAACTGTTGTTTATTGAAACAGGCAAGCCCATGTCAATTCTTTCCTCAGAAATACAAAACCAGGTTAAATTTTGATCTGAGTAATTTGACCTGTATGCAGAGGATGGGGCAGAGTGTGGACAATGGTGGAGAGTCATGAGGAAAGGGGGAAGCCTCACCTCCTACCCCGGGCATGCACTCCACCAGGTTCCTGGGATACCAGGCAAGGGAAGCCAAAGTCATTTCTCTAAGTATTGATGAAATGTGGTGTAGAAATGGGAGGAAAGGAAGAGCTAGTCCCTAAAGCAAAGTGGATGATATAAGGATCCAAGGTGCTAACTGTAGCTGTGTCACCATCAACCCCAAGAGACCACAGGTACTTAAGCCCCACTGGGGGATTGTCCACAAAGAAAAGAAGTGCATGTGTGCCTCTCTCCACAAGCATCTTGCATATCCATGCACTGCCTCCCACACACATACACACTTATCTTTACATCTCATCTCCCTCACTCATGAAATCAGAAGGCAGACAGACATGCTTCTTATCCTCAGTCCATTTCAAATATTACTGCAGTGATTTGAAGCAACTGGTTTTACTAAGACTACAGTTGGCACAGGATCCTGAGGGTCTTGGCAGGGGCCGTGGGTAAAGGTGGAGAGGACATCGCCTGGCCCTGGGAATGCTATTTCCACTGCTTCATGCAGCTGGTGGAATGAAAGATGTTGTCATTTACAAACAGCAGGTGTCAAAGGTTTGGGATTCTGGAACTCTGTAGCTAAGAGGGGCTGTCTGTTTAGAGATGAGGTAACTTGTTTATCTAAGGTTGTGCACAAGTCTTGTCAACTTTCAACTAGAATTCTAGTGAGCTTTCTTTATGGCAGGCCCTCTGCCTTTCTTGTACCAGTTCCATGGTTCTTCTCAGAGTGACCTGTACAGCCATAAACAATGTGACTTACCTTTGGTGGGCTGCTGGGAGAAGGCAAGCAGTTGAGAAGGAAGCTTCTTGTATCACTCTCTTCACTTGCAAGACCCGCTTCACTGGAGTCAACAGCCGCTGCATTTCCGGGGGATCAAGCAGAAAAGCAACAGTTCACAGCCCTTGGGAGAATGCCCAACAGTGTCCAGTTGGGCTTTATAGAGGCCTGAGATTCCTGCCTCCCAAAGCCCCACCCCTGCTTATTGAGGCTCAGTCAGCTTCTCAAACTGGGCTAAAGGTCTCACTCAGAGCATGGGCAAGTCAAAGAAAAGCATTCTCTCTCCAACATGTACATAGCTGCCCTGCATCTGGGCATGTGTGGAAGTGGATGGCTCTGATTCCTCCTTTCTTGGGCTCTTACGGCAACGTTATTTAGGCCCAGCCACATAAGAAGGCTATTATATTTGTTGTAACACATCCTGAGCTAGCCCCACTCCCCACAGGTATCTGCTGGAAACTGGATCCTCAGTTGAGCTACTCTCCCTTGGCGGTCTGGAATGCTCTCTGTGGAGTTAGCTGTTACTGTTTTAACATATTATGTGTAATGAGAAAATTTTTCACAATTGAAAGGAATGATACATAAGTCATGGGGCTGTAATGTATAGCATAAGAAATATAGTCAGTAATATTGTAATAAATTTGTATGGTGACAGATGGTAACTAGAGTTACTGTGGGGATTACTTCATAATGTATAAAAATACTGAACCACTATGATATACACCTGAAACTAACAGGATATTGTATGTCAATTTTACTTAAAAAAAAACCCAAAGGAAATAAATCTTATAATAGTAATAGCCTTCTTATGTGGCTGGGCCTTTAAGTAGTTGAGAGTGGGCACTGGCACATAGACAAAGGACTGGTAATAGAGAGGATATAGAGCCTGCTCTAGTTCTCTTATATTTATTCTTATGTTTATATAGCTCTACACAGCTTCCAGGAATGCAGTAGAAGTACAGGAGCCCTAAAGAGGTGACTGTCATTTGAAGCTTAAGCTGTCCTAGGATGAAAGGTCTACTTTACAGATGGGCCCAGTGATAGGTGGAAAGGGGTGGTGACTTCTCCCAATACCTGTAAGTGTCAGGCTGGGGACTAAACCATGTCTTTCGATTTCAGATTCTGCTCTCTCTACTTTGCTCTTCTACTTCTCAATAAAAAGGTTCCTGTTATTTGATCTTCCAAGAAATCTCTCCCTCTATCTCTCTCTCATGGCACTGATCTTCCTCTATCTTTTACAAGGGTGATGCATTTATTTATTAGTTTATTCAGTTAACCTCCCTGTCTAACATGACTCTGTGGAAGGCATGGAGAAGAGCCAGAGTGGTTCCTACTTTAGAGAAGACAGAGGTGACTTCATTTTCCTGAAGACAGAGAATGTCTAGGTATCCCAGAAGTCCAAATCTTCCAGATCTTCCACCATCTTTGATTCTTGCCACCATACATCTTGGTGCATTGTCACTCAAACCCAGTCTTCCATGTCACCCTTGCCCTTCCACTGAGCCTTTTGCAGTGTTCTGTCATGAATCTAAAATTCTTCATTTACCATCTCTTCTCCGAAAATGCGCTTTGCTTCTTGCTCTATCTCAAAATGCAGCTCTCAAATAATGGTTTGCTCTTTACCTACCCTGAAATATCCACGCCCTCGCCACCAGAACTCAATGTACCACAGTGCTCAGAATAAAGCATATGTCCTCTTTGCACTTCATTGATACTTCCAGAGTATTTTTCCTCTCTCTCCTCTCAAAAGCCTTGCTCTTTTCAAGTGCATGCCTTCCATCTGGACCACACAGTTGCCCTTTGTTCTTGGAGTCAACTAACAATCTTGCTCCACCCCTCTCATTCATGAAGACTGAAGCTGATGGATCACTGCCTTCCTCTCCACCATCAATCCTCTCAATATTCTTGGAGATGTCAATCTCCACATAGGTAATTGATCTGCTCAGGCCTCTCACTTAAGTTCTCACTTCCAAGATCTTGTCCTCCACATGACTTCAGCCTCCCATTTCACATTCACACTCCTGACCTTGTCAATACCATATCTATACACCTCCAAAATTTAAATTTCATGCAACTTAATTGCTAATAATCTCTATCTTCACAGCTCACTTTTAAAGTACCTCCAACTTTTTCTTCCACTGGGACCACTTTTTTTTTTTTCTCTTCAAGATAATGATTTTATTTCCTTTGGATACAAACCCAGAAGTGGGGTTGCTGGGTCATGTAATAGTTCTATTTTTAACATTTTGAGGAAGCTTCATGCTGTTTTCCATAGTGGCTGGACAAATTTACATTCTACCCGTGTATTCGTGTATTCTTCTCCACATCCTCACCAACACTTACCTCTTGTTTTTTTTTTTTCTTTTTGAGAGGGCATCTCTCATATTTATTGATCAAATGGTTGTTAACAACAATAAAATTCTGTATAGGGGACTCAATGCACAATTTTATTGATCAAATGGTTGTTAACAACAATAAAATTCTGTATAGGGGACTCAATGCACAATCATTAATCAACCCCACACCTAATTTTCAACAGTCTCCAATCTTCTGAAGCATAACGAACAAGTTCTTACATGATGTACAAGTTCTTACATAGTGAATAAGTTCTTACATGGTGAAAAGTGCAAGGGCAGTCATATCACAGAAACTTTTGGTTTTGATCACGCATCATGAACTATAAACAATCAAGTCAGATATGATTATTCATTTGGTTTTTATACTTGATTTATATGTGAATCCCACATTTCTCCCTTATTTATTTATTTATTTATTTAATAAAATGCTGAAGTGGTAGGTAGATGACTCCTCCACTTTTTCTCCATGTATCATATCCTCATGACCTCTTTTCACTCGCTACTTAGCTCATATGACCCAGAATCCTTGCACACACCTTGCCATGTACTCTCTCTGTCATACTGGCCAGGAAATCTTTGGTTAAAGTTACTCTTAGTCTGTACTGTGCCTGCATTTGAGCAGCTAACCATGGTTGAAGAAAAACACAGCATTGTACTCACTGGTTACCTTTACATTTACAACACATCTCAGGTGGACCCTCAGCATGGCCTGGCAGTTCTAAACTTCCCAGTCCATTCACTCTCCTAGCTCCAAGAGAGTTAGAAGTCATATTTTTTTTGTCTGTCTTCAGCCTTCCTCCTCTGCTCATTCTCAACTGGTTGTTTTGATTCATTTCACTGAGAAAATAGAAACAATCAGAAGAGGACTACTCCATCTTCAATTAACAAATTCTGCCTTTATATCCTACATTGTCTTCCCACTATTCCTATCTAGAGGAATGGTCCCAACTCTGGGTTAAGCCCAAATGTCACTACTTGCACACTGATTGTACCATCTCTGCTGTACATGAAGGCTGTGGTCCTGCAGTTTCTCCCTCTCTGCCTACTGATAAATTTCCCTTCCTACTAGGTTTCTTTTATCAGTGTACAATCCCATCTTTAAAAACCCCCTTTTGACATTATGTGTCTTAATATGTGTGCCACCAAATCTATGCTCCCCTCTCTAGCAAAAGCCATTAAAAATATTGTCTGTTCTTGGATTTCACATCCTTACCTCTTATTCTGTCTTTAACATTTAGGCTTTTGTCCTCAGCATTCCATTGAAATTCCTTTTGTTAAGATCATCAGTGACTTCCTTATTGACAAAACCAATGGTTGATCCTGACCCTTTAGCATACTAGACTTCTCAGAGCACACGGCAAGGGTTTTTACTCCCTCCTTGAAATCCCTTTTTTCATTTGGTTTATAGACCTGACAGTTCCAATTTCCTCCAAATCACCTACCACTCCTCACAGCTGCTTCTCCTCTTTATGACCTCTAAATTTTGCATTTCTCCCAGAAGGAAGCATCTTCCTTCTGGGCTTTTCAGAAGGAACTGAATAGGAACATTAGGCTCCTAGATCAAAATACACAATTATTCACACAGAATTATAGACACATAATAGCTCATTTTGATAAAATTGAAGACCAAAATTAGTCAATCTCATATCAACTTTCTTTAGTATATAACAAATTAGGCACTGTGCTAAGCACTGGGTATGTAGATTGATAGATCAACTTTTTTCCTTTCTCTCTTTAAACCAGCATATACTGAGAAATATTACTGTGTATCAGGTACTGTGCTAAGCACTTTCTGTGCATTATCTCATTTAATTTTCACAACTATCTAAGGTTGGTATTATCATTATATCTATTTTATAGATGAGAAAACTAAGGTTTAGATTAATTATATAACCATTTATTGTGTCAGACCTTGTGAGTGGCTGACATGGGCTTTGAAATGAAAATTAGTAAAGAGAAACCTCACTGACATGCATCAGGAGGCTTTCAGGGGGAGCTTTCACACCTACCACTCCATAAATCTCAGACCCACTGAAAGAGACCAACACCATAGTGTTTTGGCTGCTTTACTACCCAACAAAGAAGAAGGTTTCACCTTCCACCTCCCTGTAACAGGCCCATTCAGTGAGGCTGTCATAAATCAGCCACTGAGAAGCCACCATATGTGGGACTCCCAGTTTTCTTCAATGGACTTTTTGCTTAGAATAGCCCTCCTAACTTGGCCTTTTCCTCTATAAAAGAGAGTTTCTCTAATTTGTTCTGAAGATATGCCTATGGTTTTGCTATAGCTTGCTTATCCTGGATTGCAATTCTTTGCTATTCCCAAATAAACCTGATTTTGCTAATAAACTGACTGCTTTATTATTATTATTATTATTTTTAAATTTGTTATCATTAATCTACAATTACATGAAGAACATTATGTTTACTAGGCTCTCCCCTTCACCAAGCCCCTCCCACAAACCCCATTACAGTCACTGTCCATCAGCGTAGTAAGATGTTGTAGAATCACTACTTGTCTTCTCTGTGTTGCACAGCCCTTCCCTTTCCCCTACCCCCCACATTATACATGCTAATATGACTGCTTTATTTTTAAGATGAACAGAATTTAGGCTGTCTGGCTCTACACATAATCTGAGCCAATTTTCAACCACTTTTGACCTGAAGAAATGGTAAACCTTATATTAAGTTGTTCCCTTGGAATAAGGGAAACTTGTAGGATGAGGATGTACCAGAGATGTACTATGTAAAGTATAAGTTGGGTAAATAATAGCAAAACACCATCAGGTGGTAGCTT